AAGTCAACACGATTACACTTATTTCCCTGGTGCTTTAAGTGAGACAACCCGAACTCGATTAGAAATTGATAATTTGTTGAGCAATCAATAAACAGTTCGATGTATTAAATGATGTTGATGTTGTTTCCCAATAGTCGTACTTTCGGTCGTAATTTCGTTGTAAGTTCGTCACAATTTCGTCGTAAATTCGGTTCGAACTGTAATCAAGAATAACTAAAATATAACAATTGACATAGCTAAGCTAATCATTCGATATCTAATAATATATTTTTAGCTAGTTATCTATTCCGTTTATAATTACTTCAGTTAAACTAATTGTTTGTTCGTATAGCCTTTTTGCGTTCATTGTCACGTTGTTGCATCAAGCTTTTCAAGTCACGAAAATCTTAGAATGCAATTCATCAGCTTTTATCAGGTGTTTCTTCAAGTTCAATAACTTCCCAAAGGACATTGTTCAAATCATTGCTAAACAATGATGGGCCGTAATTTTTATAAGTTTTTTTTTGGAGGAAATTTAATTTTGTGTAGTGTTCTCGTTGCAAAAATTGCGTAGTGATCAGAAAACCCTAAGGTCTAAGGAATGGTGGTGGTTTTGGTAGTGATAATTTCGATCAATCGGTTCATACACGGTTTGTACTATTTTCTGAGTTTTGTTTGAAATAATTGATAATTCCTGTGAGTATACGAGGCTTTTATATAACTCTTGGTTTTGCTTTGCAATCGCCCCTTAGTTCCGATGAAGGTGGTAAGGCTAATACACATAATAAACCTCTTTGTCTCCCCGATAAGTAGGGCACTTGTGCCCGGCTAGAAGAAATAGAGACAGTAATAAAGTTGTTATTATTATTATTATTATTATTTGTTATGTTTCCTTCGTTCTTAAATTAAACTCGAACGTCTGGCTCGCTTCTTTCTTGACGTTTTCATTTGAGGTATGTTCGCCGATTCTACTCACTCACACTGACAAAGTACAGCGTGACAAACGTCCAACATTTGAATAAAAACCCAGCTGTTTATTACCATACTTCGGGAGTAAATCGGAAAGTAGCCAAGCGAGATGAGACCGTGCATGGTGTGAAATAATTTTATGTTATGATCATTAGCAAACAATAGAATTCCCAGAGCATCAAATCGTTGGGAAAC